CTGAAACTGGCCAAAATAGTATAATAGGTAAAATATTCTCTCTTACTATTCGAGGACAGAGCTATATGCTAGTATCAGCTTAGAAGTAATAGAAACGGTGTTCTAATTATGCGGGTAGCATAAACCATGTGGAGTCTCTTTCTTTGTTTCAATAAATATTAACCTATAGAAACCATCAAATGGTAAATGGGATCATCTATAGGAACGCGTTTAAAGCTGCCATTGATGGAATGTCACTTACAACCAACTAGCACTTCGATACTGATGATAAGAACGAAGATCAAGCTAATAACATCGCCAGCAAGCGCACACAAACCTTCCAGATCATTAGGTGCAGGTAAGTGTGGTAGAAAAAATAGGGGGGTGGGGGGTTACATAGTAGCCGCAGGGTAGAAAATGAGCCAAACTCAGGCACTATTTTCTAGCTTTTCACTCCTAACTTACTGTCTCTTGTGCTTCTTTGTCTCACTTCAATCTAACATCAAATTTGCCTATTTATTTCATAGCCTTATTCACTAGATTTGCTGAATTAAATGTTTATTCAGGTCACACTTCCTAAACTCCAGTTCACGTAATTCATCAATGGTGATTAATTTAATTGAAACATGAAAGTATGAGATTTAATTGATGCCATCTTAAGGTCAACAAAGGTGGTGAAATTTCAATTAATTTTAAAGGAGGCGTTACAAGTATGCAATCATTTAATGGTTCTGGCACATTTTTACTGTTTTCCTTTGATTTCATTAGCACTTCCAGAACACCTGGGTTTCCATTTCATTTTAAATGGTTATTGTTGTCCACAGTGGATGGAGAGGCGTTTAAATTAGTGGAAGATAAAAGGGCTTGCATGCGTAAGGAGATAGGAAAGAGTCCTATTGTGGGTAAAAGTGGTCAGGCGGTATAGGTTAACCTACCTATTACTTTAAGACATTTCGTGCTAAATTATTCTTACGTTCAAGTGCTCGTGTAGTCAATGAAAATCGAATCACCACTGGCGTATGCATGAATTGTTCCGACTTGTCTACACAAATAGCCCACTTTTTAAGCGTACTGAATATATATGTATTATGTTTTTATAACTTTCACGCATTTTTAACGCGTGAATAACATTCCTATTGGATAATTTTAAATAATAAAGTAATTAGAAGAATCGCAAACTTGGTATATTACGATTATTTACTTCTAACATTTTAATTCAACTACTAAATTTCATTTCGTGTTTGGCACTCCAATTGTACTAAATAAAATATATTTAATTTTTATTATGTGTACTTTTTCCTTAAATTGAAACATTATTTACCTTAGCATTAAAAAATAAAACAAAAATAATTGTTTGTCTTTAATTAAAATATTCTTTTAAATAAAAAATTGAAGTAAATAAAATAAACAAATAAAAAATTATTTGTTTGAAGGATAATTTAATAAAAATTAAATTAAATATATTAACTATTCCTTGTATTAATATTGTCTTTTAAATAAAAAAGAAATTGAAACTTTCTACACTTATAAATTAATTAAAAGTAATTTGTTTGAAAGATATCACTCATTTTAGCGCTCTTTGATCATCTGCAGGATATCATCAGCTATGGCTAGTAGCAGACCCATTAATGAAAAGCAGAATGACTCTGGTAAGCATTAATGTGTTGAAGATCTTTAATTTCTTACATTTTTTGTCATTTTCTAATTTAGTTCCCAAGGATGAATTCACTATACCACACATGAATACATCTTGCATAACCAATTCCGTTCCCTACTGGGAGATGATGATGAACCCGGACCAATACTTGCACAACTTACATAATCTTCCACCCGAAACACAGAGTGTTATCAGACAATATTGTCTGCGAAGGGTGCAAGAGAAGCAGAGAAGAGCAAATGCAGAAAATGGTGAAGAAGTGGGTTCGACAGGGAGTCAAGTGGGCCGAGATACCGGCGAAAAGGAACCACTCCAAAGCTTGAGACAAGATTCTCAACAGGAGTTGCGCAAAGTAATTGAGAAGAAAAAGCCATTGAAAGAAGCGAAACAAGACAAAAATGCGAACGGGAAGGATGGAAAACACGAGGGTAATAAGGACCGCAATTGACCAGACAATTTACCTCCCTTTTGCCCTACTGACTATCTTTAAATCTTTTATAGTTTTTTACATCCTTTACATATTATAATCTATTTTATTTTATTTCTGTGTGGATTCCTTGCGCACATTTTGTGGCCGACTTGAATGTGATTCTTGCCAAATTTTACGCTTGTTAATTTTGATTTTTTCGACTCGAGTGGGGCGAATTTTCCCTCTATTACTATCCACATTCATGGCTGCTAATATTCTAGAATAATTACTATAGTCGAAGTGATTTATTCTCCTGTTTGGAGATGTTTATCTTGAGATTCATTCACCTTCACAATTGACCTGAGAATCGTCGATGGTGGTTACCAATATATTAACATTAGATAGCATCATCAAGAAGACATTTTCAACGCACTGAACAAAATAACTGTGCAAAAGTACTCAAATTCGAAGCTGTGATCAAGCTCAAATTTTTCACCTATTTTAATTGCATAATGTAAACGTTTGCTTTAAAGTGTGAATAAGTATTTCACCAATAGAAATGAAAGTAGATATTTCTACGTGCCTGTGTAGCATTATGGTGATTTTGTGGACTTGGTGAAAAGCTTATCACAACTAATTATTTCGGCCATTCTCCAGTTTTAATCGTTTTCAAGCAAATGATGGCTAGAGATATCTGTTGTGAGGACCAATATTTTATCATGATCAAAGCAGACTCCCCTCGACATGTCAGCGACAAAGTAACAGTCATTGCCAGTAAGTGGTTTTCTGACCAATCAATGGCCAAATTCATTACGTTCTTATCATACTGGAAAGTGTGCACAAGGATGAGGTTCCACGTCACACGTCAGCTTTCTCTATAGTTTAGCGACAGTTCAGCTAATTCCGGATGCTTTTCCAAACTAAGGCGAATCTCTCATGGATATTACTGAGCATAGTCAATGCTTATTAGTGCACCAATTAGCTACATCGTGTGAGCTGCGATCTGGAAAAACCGTTGGTTTACTTACTCACAAATTTGCTCGCACCAATTCTTTCGCGAATAAATGTGACCAACCAAATAAAGGCATTTATAATAGTGAGAGGAATCGACGTTCAATTCCCTAAAGTGACAGAGATTTCATTATGTAGGCATTAAATTCTGAAACTGGCCAAAATAGTATAATAGGTAAAATATTCTCTCTTACTATTCGAGGACAGAGCTATATGCTAGTATCAGCTTAGAAGTAATAGAAACGGTGTTCTAATTATGCGGGTAGCATAAACCATGTGGAGTCTCTTTCTTTGTTTCAATAAATATTAACCTATAGAAACCATCAAATGGTAAATGGGATCATCTATAGGAACGCGTTTAAAGCTGCCATTGATGGAATGTCACTTACAACCAACTAGCACTTCGATACTGATGATAAGAACGAAGATCAAGCTAATAACATCGCCAGCAAGCGCACACAAACCTTCCAGATCATTAGGTGCAGGTAAGTGTGGTAGAAAAAATAGGGGGGTGGGGGGTTACATAGTAGCCGCAGGGTAGAAAATGAGCCAAACTCAGGCACTATTTTCTAGCTTTTCACTCCTAACTTACTGTCTCTTGTGCTTCTTTGTCTCACTTCAATCTAACATCAAATTTGCCTATTTATTTCATAGCCTTATTCACTAGATTTGCTGAATTAAATGTTTATTCAGGTCACACTTCCTAAACTCCAGTTCACGTAATTCATCAATGGTGATTAATTTAATTGAAACAT